GAGTATGGGGGGTGCCCCGGGAGGTTATGGGTAGGGGCTCTCTGGGGTGGGTAGCGGCTGCCCCAGTGGTTTATGGGTAGAGGTTTTCTGGGGTTATGGGTAGCGGCTACCCCAGGGGGTTGTGGGTAGGGGCTCTCTGGGGGCGGGTAGTGGTTGCCCCGGGAGGTTATGGGTGTCAGGTGGCCCGGGAGGTTTTGTGTAGCGGCTGCCCTGGGGGGTTATGGGTAGCGGCTTCCCCAGGGGGTTATGGGTGGCAGGTGGCCCAGGGGGTTATGGGTGGCGGCTGCCCTGGGGGGTTATGGGTGGAGGCTGCCCCGGGGGGTTATGGGTAGCGGCTGGCCTGGGGGATTATGCGTGGCGGATGGCCCAGGGGGTTATGGGTGGCGGCTGCCCCAGGGGGTTATGGGTGGCGGCTCTCTGGGGCGGGTAGCGGCTGCCCGGGGTTAAAACCTCACTTCTCTCTCTCACCAGCGTCCCTGTGCGGCAGCCAGGGGCCCGCCAGGCCGGGGCGCCGGGACGGAAGGAAAATGACGGAGAGGAATAACCGGAGGCGGATGAGTACGCAGGGCGCGGGCAGCAGGGGGCGCCCCGGAGCCAGGCCCACATAGAGCTGGGGAGCCATAGGGACGCGAGGAGGGTACTGGGGGGGGGGGGGGGGGGGGGGAGGGGAGCCGGGGGGGGATATGATCTGGGAGGGGGAAGCAGTGGCTTGCAGTCAGGTTTTGGGGTGACCTTTTCCTGGAGGGAGGGGAGTCCCAGGGTATGGATGGGGGGTTGTTGTGAGGAGGGGTCCCTGCCCCGTTGGGGTAGGGGCTGGGCCGGGGCTGTCGAGGGGGGGGCTCCAGCCTGTGCGGGGGGTGGGGCTGGTTTGGGGGTCCCCCCGTGACATGTCTCTCCCTGCAGTGAAGAAGGACGATGAGGCCTACGAAATCTCCATCCCCTTCGAGGAGACGCCCCACCTAGAGCCCCAGATCTTCTACAGCCTCAGCCCCCCCCAAAGCAACTTCGAAGGTAGCCCCCCCCGCACTTCTACCCCATGCCCCCATCCCCAGAGACTCCCCTGTACCCTCACCACCGGGGGGGGCGGGGAGATGGGAGGTGTTAGGTTTGGGGGGGGTTCAGTGGGGAGATGGGGGGGGAGTCCAGGGCTGGAGGGCTAGTTTCTTTGGGGGGGCTGGGGGGCCAGGGAAGAAAGGAGGGGGCATAGTGTGGGGGGAGGGCCCCAGGGGCAGTGGGGCCCTGTCAGTGGGGGGAACGGCCGGTGGGGTGGAGCCAGTGAGGGTCAGGGCCCTGTTGGGGGGGATCAAGGTCCTGTTGGGGGGTGGGGGAGAGACTGCTGGGGGGCAACGAGGGGGGCAGGCCCCATTGGGAGGAAGATTCCGGCAGGGGGCAGGGCCCTGTCAGAGGGCAGAGGTTGTGGGGGGTCAGGGCCAGGGGTGGAGGGGTCAGGTGGTGCCCCCTGCCCACGTGCCCCCCCCCCCCCCCGCAGAGCTGCCGGAGCCGCCCCCGCCCGCCCTGGCGCTGATGAGCAGCATGAAGACCCAGCTGCACATGGCCCTGGAGCGCAACTCCTGGCTGCAGAAGCGCATCGAGGACCTGGAGGAGGAGCGGGACTTTCTGCGCTGCCAGCTTGACAAGTTCATCTCCTCCGCCAAGGTGGACGCCGGTGAGCCGGGCAGGACGCCTGGGTCCCTTCCCTGGTGCTGGGAGGGGAGTGGGGTCCAGTGGTTAGAACATGGGGGGCTGGGAGCCAGGAGGCCTGGGTCCCTTCCCTGGTGCTGGGAGGGAAGTAGGGCCTAGTGGTTAGAACACGGGGGGGGCTGGGAGCCAGGACGCCTGGGTCCCTTCCCTGGCGGTGGGAGGGGAGGCAGTGGGAGGGGAGTGGGGCCCAGTGGTTAGAACATGGGGGGGCTGGGAGCCAGGACTCCTGGGTTCCTTCCCCAGCTCTGGATCCCTGCCCCCCTGTAGTGACTTTAGAAGTCAGAGGCGGCAGAGGGGGGCGTGTGGGGGCACTAGCTGGGGGAACAGCCTCTGTGTCCCCGTTTGACCCGATCCCAGCTCCCCGCTCTAGAGGGGCAGTTCCCTGGGCAGCAGGTGTGGTAGGGCTTTTATCCTTCCCATGGGCAGCCCCTAGGGGGCGCCGTTTCTCCCAGCCAGAAGAGCTTGGGGTGGGGGGTCGGGTCACTGACACAGCAGGGCGGGGAGGCTCCGGTGAGGTGCATGCTGGGATCCAGTCTCTGCCCCCCTCCCCCCCAGAAGATCACTGCCGCAGCAAGCAGCCCCCGCGGCGGGCGGAGGCGGCCGAGAGCCGGCCCGGCGAGGCCACGGACAACGAAAGCCTGGCGTCCTCGCTCAGCGCCGCCTCGGAGCAGGGCGGCTCCGCCGAGCGCAAGAAGCAGAAGCAGAAGGGGGGGGGTGAGCCGGCGGCGCTTCGGCAAGCCCAAGGCCCGCGAGCGCCAGCGAGGTGAGTGGGGGCCTGCAGGGGGCGCTGGGTGTGGCGAGGAGGGAGCTATGGGGTGGGCATGTGCCATGGGGTGAGGCAGGGCCGGCTCTGGCTTTTTCGCCACCCCAGGCGAAAAAGCCTCCGGCCGCCCCCCCCGAGCCCCGGGGGGAGGGCAGCAAGCCCCGGCGGGGGCTCCGCTCTCTCCCCGGCGGCCGGAACGCCGCGCCGCCGCCCCCCTCCAGGTGCCGCCCCAAGCACCAGCTTGGGTGCCTGGTGCCTGGAGCCGGCCCTGGGGTGAGGAGCAGGGATGAGGCAGGGGGCTGTGGGTGGGGGGTGGGGAAGAGGAGGGGGACTGTGGGATTGAGGGGTCTGGCATGCGTGGGGTGGAGGGGCATGTGGGGGGAGGACTCAATGGGAGGGCCTTGGGGCGGGCGGGGGGCTTTGGGGTGGGGACAGGTCCTCCTGAGGGGGCTGGGGGGGAGTCTGTGTCAAAGGAAAGGAATGAACAGGCTCTTCTCTCCTGGGCCTTTCTGTCCCCCTCCTTTCCTCTGTCTGCTGTCCCCCTCTATCCCTCCCCCCGGCCATCTCCCCGTCCCTCCCGTCCTTCTCGCCCTTGCCGTGGCCCGCCTGGCAGTCAAGGACGCCGACGGGGTGCTGTGCCGCTACAAGAAGATCCTCAACACCTTCCAGAAGCTGAAGAGCATGAGCCGGGCCTTCGAGCACCACCGGGTGGATCGCAACACGGTGGCTCTGACCACGCCCATCGCCGAGCTGCTCATTGTGGCGCCCGAGAAGCTGGCTGAGGTGGGCGAGTTCGACCCATCCAAGGAGCGGCTGCTGGAGTACTCGCGCCGCTGCTTCCTGGCGCTGGATGACGAGACCCTCAAGAAGGTGCAGGCCCTCAAGAAGAGCAAGCTGCTGCTGCCCATCACCTACCGCTTCAAGCGGTGATGGGGCCCCCTGCTGCCCCCCCACCCCGGGACCC